TTCCCACTGTGGAAGGAGCTGCTCCCCTGCCCTGTGCCACATCCATGTGTGCTCCTGTCCCCTCTGTGTCCTCACAGGCGTTCCTGCCCTTGCTGAAGAAGGCTGCCCAGGGGAGCCCAGGCTCAGGGCTGAGCTGCAGCAAGGCTGCCATCGTCAACATGTCCAGCTATGCAGGTTCCATTGAGGATGTCTATGTATGGGAATTTGGACAAGTTGTCTCATACCGCTGCAGCAAGGTACTGCCAGATTGCACTGGGGGTGAGCCCAGATATTTTCTCCTCCAAATGATCGCACTCATCAACCTCCCTCTCAGTCCATGATCCTCTCTACACTGTGACTGAACTCGCATCAGTCCCTGGGTACCTCTCACTGCACAGTTATGTGCCTGGCCCTGGGCCTTATCTCAGAGGGACATGATGGGATGGGACCTGAACTAGGCAGGGCATTCACACAGGGAGAGTGAAGCAGTATAATGTACCCCAAGAAATGTGTCCAACTGCCCTATCCCTGCCCTAGCTGTGGGGTCTGCACATGTCCCCTGGCAGCCCCCCTTCCCTTTCCACCATCATCCCCTCCCTGTCTCCCCACAGGCTGCCCTGAACATGCTGACCAAGTGCCAGTCCCTGGCATACAAAGAGCACGGCATCCTCTGTGTCACTTTCCACCCCGGCTGGGTGCAAACCGACATGGGGGGCGGAGGATCATTTAAGGTAAGTGGTCTCCTGGCCATAGTATGGAAAACCTCATCATTAAGGAATGTGGAATTTGCTGACATTGCATGCTGGGCTGTGTGAAAGCTTCTGTGCAGATTTCCTGGAGAAGGAGGGGGCAGGGAGATGAGCATCTGGGAACTCTTCCTGCCTGGAGTAATCATCTGTTCCAGGGCAGATAATTGCTCGACCTTGGGCACAAAACTGTTTCTCCCTCTRCCCCACAGCCTCCCCTGACAGTGGATGACAGCGTGCAAGGGATGCTGAAGGTGCTCTCCTCCATCTCTGAGAAGGACACTGGSACCTTCCTGGACTGGGAAGGGAAGGTTTTGCCCTGGTGAGATGCTGGTTCCAGATTCTGACTGTGAGGACCTTTGTCGCCGCACCATGCTGTGCCTGTCTCTTAGTAAAGGAGTGTCCACAAACAATAAGTAGCACTGTGTGAGCCTCCTTCCTTTGGTCTCCTATTAACTAKCACTGTAAGAGCCCTCTCTGGCTCTCTGAGATACCTTCTCAGAGTTATTTCCATGTATCATTGAGCTAGATTGGTCTGAACATTTGTTATTCTCTAACTGGGGAYCTGGATACCATCCTGGTAGGAATTTGTCCCTGGGCTCATCCCACAGTTCTCCTTCAGAATGGCAGCACCACCTTACAATGACTCAGGCATTGTCCAGTGAGTCCTTCCTCGTTTTCAGTTCGAAGTCCAGGCAGAGCACTGCTCACTTCTAGCTTCTCTACCACATGGGTCAGGAAATCAAAACCTGCCAGGATCCTCCTGGATTGCTTRTGCCCTGCTGAGTTGTTCCTCCAGAAGAGGTCAAGGTAGTTAAAAGCACCCACAAAGACCAGGGCCTGCAATGGAAAATCCTAAGTGCAGTCTTGAGCCCTCTCAGGGGTGGGAACACTATTCTGGGTTCCTGTTAAATCCTKTCTCTACCTCTCTTCTTGGTGTCTCTGCTCCCAGTTCTGAGCTGGTGTGGAGGCAGGATAGGCTCCTGGTGTTGTGTGCATTTCCATGGGGCACACGTGAGGCTCCATGATGAGCAGAGATGCCCACAGGTGCTCTGGACTCACTGTGGGGCTGATGGAGTGGGTGAGGGACCTAATGGGGGGCCTCGGGGTCTGTGGGGACACCAGGGATCTCCCACCACATATCCCTGGTGTATGGAGGGATGGAGAGATCCTTGTGCCATTTGTTGTATTTTTAACTGAATTCCCTCAAATTTGTTGTATCACACACTTGCAATGCTGAAAAGTTAATTAATTCCTCACTTCTTTTATCACTTAGATTTAGCTGAAATTATTATAACCCTGACATTGCTGTATTGTAGGATGATGGCCCCACTATCTAAGGTCCCTCAACAGTGCAGCAGTCTCATTTCCTGGGTGCCATCCCAGCACTGCCAGCGTTTTGCACAATTTAGGGCCCCATTCCAGGTTACCAAGGCTCCAAGCAGCAGCATCCAAGTCCATTTGTAGCCTCCTTAATAAAAGAGGATTTGTTGGCCAGGCTGTGCTGGGTGTCCATGCCAGGGGGAGGGGACAGTGCAGGGACTTTCCTCCCCGTGGTCCCAGCATGCGGCAGGACCCAGCAGGTGGCAGGATCTCATCCGCTGTGATCGTATAGTGGTCAGTACTCTGCGTTGTGGCCGCAGCAACCTCGGTTCGAATCCGAGTCACAGCAACTTTTGTCAAGAGCCGGGAGGGAGGCGGCTCCGAGGGGTTTGGTCTGCAAAGATGCCACTCCGTGAGAAAGGCCACGAGTTTGGATGGTCCGAGAATGACCAGACTCACACCAACAACGATTTCCCGACTTTTAGCCACTGTGCAGGGTCTCTCCGGTGAGSGTGCAGTGACATTTCTGGGAAAGCACCTCCAGCTTCACCATTTTCCAGGCAAGCTTGAGAATTAGAGGAATTCGTCCAGCTTCCCGCATTCCACTTCCTCACAGTTTTGCAGAGAGGACCAGAAGATGCTGTGGCCACCCTGCAGAGTGAGAGGTGGGAGGTAGCAGCGTGCTCAGCTCCTGCCCCCCAGGGCAYGAAGGATCTGCCACAACAGAAGGAGGAAGATCAATCTGATGAAAGCCCTGCTTCCAGCGCTCCCTGCTCCAGATAAACAGTGTTTTGGTTGCAGACCCTCCAAGGATGCTTTCACAGCAGAGGCAAAACCCACCCAGAGYTGAGGGATGGCCCTGACACACAAGAGTCTGGGAACCCGAAGTGTCACGGCCACCAAGAAGCAGGTGGAGGTCTCTGGGTGCTCCAGGAGAGGCTTCAGCGCCTGGAGCCTTGACGGAGTCACCGTCTGCTTGGGCTTGGTGCCCTCTCCTGACAGYCGTGCAGAACTCACTCTGGTCCGCAGCTTTCAAAAGAGAAGTTAYGTAAGTGTGGCATRGGCTGGTGGCGAGGAAGGCACCACMCAAACAGTGGATCTCAGCCACTGTGGGGGCATCTGGAAACAGCAGAAGGCTGCAGCAGCAGGGTTCAGGTGTCTGCAGGACTTGTGCTTGGGAAAGGGAGRGGGAGGAGTTTTTAATTCCACAAAATGAATTTATTTTCTTTTGCACCTTACCCAGAGCAAGAAATTAAGAAAAAAATCACTGCACATTTACCTTTAGGATTTGTAGTTTGTAGGGCACTACTTGCACGACTTCACACTCCTCCAACATTCATTTATGGAAAACCAATATTGCTTTACCCAGGGAAAGCTCAAAAAGCATTTTTCCCTTCTAAAGATAATACAGAAGGGAGAAAAGGCAAACATGTGGAGAAGTTAGCAGCAGCAGTTTTACCTGCCCTACTTTTACCCAGCTGGGAAGCAGAAACACAAGGAAATACATAATTTCTCAACTGTTCTTTTCCTCCCCCCCCCCCCCCCCGGAAAGTCAGTGGGGGGTGTAATGCCACTAAACTTGCCTGAAAAATAATTTACCATGCATGTGAAACTGATGTATGTTCAGGTTGAAAAATGTTTTTAAAAATTTTGCATAGGATAGGGGATATTTTTAATACAAAATTGCTTGTTTTTCTATTAAAATAATTTCTTTTTGGCAAAAATGTCTTGAAGTGTGCATACACCTACTGTGCAGTCCAGGGCTTGATTGTGACTGTGGTGGCCCCACGAGTCACTGGAGCCTCTGCTCTCACTTGGACCATCTTCCCTTAAAATAATGCAGGGTTCTGCTGGGAAACTTCTGCTCATCACCCTCACAGTAAAAATTGTATCCTGATGTTCAGCTGGAGCCTCYTGCATTCCAGGGTGTGCCTGTGGCCTCTGGTCCTGGCACCACTGGACAGAGCCTGGCTCCCTCCCACGAGAGGTGCTCCAGTCCCTTCAGTATCTTCAGGGWGGTCAGGAGGTCATCTCATGCAAAAAAAATAGTGGCCAGCAGAAACCCAAATTTTGGGAACATTGCCTGAAGTAAATTTGGGCACCCCAGCACCCTTCACTGCAGATGGGAGTAGTGGAGACAATAATCCCCTACTTTCTCCCTGCCTGAGCTGCCCAGGGAGGGACTGTCCCGGCAGGGGAGGTTCTGCTCCTTCCCATGGGATCCTAAAGGATAAAGCCACCGCCTGAACAGGGGCTTGAACCCTGGACCCTCAGATTAAAAGTCTGATGCTCTCCCAACTGAGCTATCCAGGCTCACATTTGGGGTCTGGGGGGGCCTGTTTGTGACAGGCAGGGGRGACCCCGCTTTGCTGCAGCATTGGAGGGACAACGTGGGACCCAYTTTGATGTTTTCCACWCCACRCCACCCCAACGAGGCACCCCAGACTGAACACCCGGGTTCTGGGAATCTCCCTGGGCACTGATCCGGCACAGGGATGCGCCCTGGAAGGTGCCGGTGCCATAGGGATGCGCAGGCAGGGACGTGAGGGGAGGGGGATGCAGCGGGAGCGGCTGTAAAACCTCCACCGCTCCCAGAGGGGGCAGGAGGGACCCGCCGGGGGACAGAGGCAGCGGTGGGGGATGCGGCCGCRCAGGATCCGTGCCCTGRGCTGTGGTGTCCCCGCTCTGCGCTGTGGCCGCACAGGATCCGCGCTCTGCGCTGTGGCCGCAGCAAGCTCGGTTCGAATCCGAGTCCCAGCGGCTCTTTTGCGCGTTAAGGAGGGAGAGAGGCGGCCGCGGGGAGTTGGGTTGCAGATACCGAGCTTGGATGGGCACCTAAAGGTGCCATCCCACATATTCCATTGCCCTTCCTCGCCATTATTCAGGAAGGAATCCCTCTGTCCCAGGAGGAGCCCACCCTGTCAGCCCGCCTACTCACCAGTCCCACACATCCCCATCTCAGCTCGCATTTCCCTATGGGAAGGAAGATGTTTTTCCTTCAGCAGGAGGATACGATTTTGCCCCATCCCTTGAAGTGTTCAAGGGGGCGTGATGTTCAAGTGTTCAAGATGAGGCTTGGAGCATCCTGATCYAGTGGGAGGTGTCACTGTCCATGAAATGAGAGGGAGAYAGGTCATGGGACAGGGGCAGTGCCCAGGGTGGCAGTGGGGARTGTGACRCTGCTGTGTAGCACAAGAASCTTCCCAGATGTGTCTTTTCCTATYCCAACCYCKCTGTCTTCTCCCAGATGCCTGGGGCCATGCTGGTGGCACCAGCACTCCCTGCCAGGGGCAGGTGGAGTGGAGAGGGACTGTATTTACTAATGCAGGGAATGAGCAGCCCTGGGGATTACCCCCAGAGTACCCTGCAGGGGACAGGACATGGCAGCCACCTCCCCAGAGCACAGCAGAGGGACACCAAGGCACCAGGAGGCTGCTCAATGTGCAGCACCCCCGAGCAGGGCTCTCAGAGCACAAAGAACTCCTGGGCACTGCTGGACTGGCTTTGACAGGCCATGGCTTGTCCATAAGGCCAGTCCTTCGTCCCTCCCCGTCCCTCCTCCTCCTCATGGCCAGCCCCTTGCAGCTCTCCCCTCCCCTGCAGCCCGGGTGCCTCTTGGCTGGACCTGCGTAAAAATTATAAAAGGCTGTTTGGCTTGGAGCCGCGCRGAGGATCCCGGCCGAGCCTGCCATGGGGAGCAGCGGCGCCGGGGTTGCGCTGCTGACGCTGTCGCTGCTCCTGCAGCCCACGTCCCAATTCTGGCTCTTCAACGTCCTCTTTCCACCCACCACCACCCCAGAAGCTCCCCCGACCAACAGCACACCGCCCGTGGTACTCGGTAAGGTCGTGCCAGCGCGGGCACCAYGCGGGGTATGGGTGGGCACCCCGGTGCCATGCAGCCCCCCAYAGCAGACAGTGAGGTTGGGGTGCTGTGCTGCTGGTGACTCCTTGGATTTTGGCTGCGATGGCTCTTGGCTGTCTGGATTGGAGCCACCAAGGAGGGGTGCCACACAGCTGCCCGGTGCCCTCCCATTCTCTGGGATAAGCAGATGCCCAGGTAGAGCTTTTTCAGAGCTGAAGGG